ATTAGAACATATTCACGTAAACTAATTATCAGTGACTTTAAAGAAAAGAATTTGATTAGCTCGTACGTATTCGTAGAAAACAATGGAATAACGGCGATTTCTACAATGTAGCGCTAATTAATCTTCAATTTCGTACGTACATAATTTGCAACCTTTAATTAATAAGAAATATCTTGATTTTATACGGGGAAAAGATCTTATTCGGTCTTGATCATGAAGCTATTGTGTGCTAACATTCGTCATTAACCAAATTTCTCCTGTGTTCGATTCTTCTGAATCCTCGTTAATCGTTAATAGAAATTCTTTCGGTTCCTTTGCACTCCGTGCGGTTTACTGTTCCTCCGGTTCCGTTACTCGACCGATAAACATTTCAGGAATATTCCATTTATAGCGATGTATATACAATTAAACTTACAAGTACTGCTTGTTTCCACAAAGGATCCAACGTTTTTAATCAGCATACTGAATCACAAGATTTAATTAGAATCGAGACGCAACGAACAAGATTTATTGGCAACAAATGAAGAATACAGTTCTTTGTAAGGAACTCGTGCTTGAAAGTTAAACTATAAATATGATTAACGTAACGATTGAGTGGAAAAAATGTAATATGATCTGTGCGACGATGTATCATCATGCCTTGTTCAATTTTTTCAAGAGTTTAGATTCAATACCTTTCTTCTTATACTCGTATCTAATCTAAGAAAATAATACTATTTTTAACAGCATAGGAACATTTAGATCGTGCATGTTTGTGCAAATTCATATTTTTATAAATAGAACACGAAAGAATTGAACCTAAGCAGATTTACATGTTACGAGTAACCTTCCTCTCATTGACTCAAATAACTATTATAAAATTATTCGAGTCATTTTTTCGTTCTTGCAGACACTTTTTCCTGCTCAACTTAAAATACACGATATTTCCACATTCTTCCGTTACTGTATTAAGGCGTATCATAATATGAAACAAGGTTGAATTTTTTAAGGCGTAGAAGCTTAGCTGAGGACAATAACCCTACCTTACCCTATAACGGGTAGTATACTTTATCATATACATTTTTGTAATTTTAAGTATCGCAGCCACTCTAGATTAAACTATCGTCCAGTTGAATAATATGTGGAAAACGCTAGAATCGTTCGGTTTTTTTGTGAATGGTTACGGTTTACCATTTTACGGTTTCCCACTTTCGGTTCCCATTTTCGGTTCCCATTTTCGGTACCCGCAAAAGAGCGGATGACCTACTTGTTAATTGGTCGACAGATAGGACAGATAGGAGCGTCCTGATTACGAGTAACGTGCCTCGATAATCTAATAACGTATCACCGGTCATGGATCCATAAAGAACATGATGAAAAAGAAACGAAGACCCTCTCAGGGTTCGATACTCGTTTGATGTTCGTCGTTGAAAAAAGTATCCTATAGAAGTTCGTATTTTATCGCGCACGATTCTGCACCAAACGCAACCTTGCTTTCATCGCCCTTTTTTCTCTTGTTACTTTCTTTCCTGACGCCTTTTTGCAGTGTATCGAGTACCGTAATTATGGCCGTGTTAAGCACTCTGTTGATATAAAAATTCGTCGTATAAAAACAGTAGATTGCAATCAATTTTATCGAAGTTACTCAAAACGCTCGTAAACTCTACTTTTTCTTCTTTAGAAAATTCAATCACGTATTTCGTTTAGTAAGACTAAACATGTTATTTAAACATTATTACGAAACATTAGTTAACTAAGTGAAATCTTATACCCGGAAAAGATACGTATGTTGTAATGATTTTCATTTGCGTGACTTTAAGAATGTTTGCTTTATTTTTTTTTTTTTTTTATTTTCGTGATAGATAATATAAATAACGTGATGACTGCTGGTACAAACGCAAGCTGTTACATAACATTATCATATTTATCGTATATAGATAGGTTAATAAAAATAGTGTAGCATAGGTCAATAAAAATACATTTGTCACTCATTCATTGGTAAATCAAACCTTGTTGTTTAGGTACTAGGAAATATAATTTTCATTTATCTATGTATTCTATCTATGTATCGTTTATCTATCTAAATAGTAATTTGTAAACTTACACGCCTTTCTCTTCCTTTTTCGTGGTTAATAACCCGTGCAAGCGCTCGATCGATTACAAATTTAATGATGATTGCACTAAGAAAATATGGGATAAAGCAAAACACGGATAGGAAAACACGATAGTACATCGTCGACAAAATTCAACACGATAGGTAGAGAGTGCGTGAACAAATTTTCAATTAAAAGGAATTAACGATAACGAGTTCGGCGAAGAAGAAAATAAAAAGTTCCGTAGAGGGTTCGAAATAATAACGCATAGGCGATCTTCGATGCACGCTTCCTTCTTCCGGCGTTCGAACCAAAACAGAATTTCAAGACAGCGCGCACAAGGAAATAGAAAGAGAACGAGAGAAAGGGAAGCGAAAGAGAAGGACAGAGGGCAAAGTAAATGCGTTTAACGTTTTAAATGATCCGGAAAAAGCAGAAATTAAGCGAGTCTACTCGCAATTAAGAATAATTAACGATAATCCGTTCGGGAGAACACGGGTTCCTCGCGGTTGTACGCGCGAGCGCGCTATTTCAAATTCTCCAGGTTCTGTCTTGAAATCGTCTTGAACGACGATTTGTCGTCTAGCAAATCGACATCGTAGAGGACGTTAGTATGAAATTGAGCCGTCTGCAGCCTCGTGCGAATTTATTACGCTCGCCTCGAGTTTCGCGGTTTCCTTTGTCCGGCTGATAAAAAATTTTTCAACGTGAAAACAGCGCTCGCGCGTGCATCTGGCGTAGAGATTCCCTTCTCTCTCTCTCTCTCTCTCTCTCTTTCTTTTACCCTCTCGATTCATCTTTGTCTCTCTCGCTCGGTTCTCCATCGAGCATTAATGACTCTGTCCTTGTCTCTTCGAGAGGCCTGATACGCACTTGACTTCCACGCGGAAACGAATCGTACACGTGATACAAGAGCACTTCCGACGACAGAATAATTCATATATACATAATTTAGCGAAAAAACAAACAAATCATCGTCCCGTTTTCACCGTGTCTCGCGCTGGAAAATCGATTGTTAATGCTTTCGCGCCTCTTCAATGGCCTGAATCGCGTGATCCAACAGCGTTTGCAAAATATACGTGTGGGTATTAAGCGTGTATTAGTAAATTGATCTGTCTTGGTGTAGAAAGGAAATTCGATTTTAAACATTAGTTAAGCGGCAGCTTTTATCTCTATCTTACGTTAGTTTTGGCTACTAGACAGCAGCTATAATATGTATTTGTATAAAGTTGAAAAAAAATTGGTGTTTAGCGTGTAAGAAAAGATATTTCTCAGAATCAACGACATTGCTCGTATCTGTCCGAGTATTTATGCTTCTCAATGCGCGACGTGTAGGTATTCCATATACAAAAGCATAAAACAATGGACAAGAGATGACGAAATAATTTGCATCGTGGGCAAGATGACGAGACCTTGCATCTGTCAATCATTTCCGAAACGGCAAACATACTGCGTTGATTTGCAGTCGATGATTAACTGAGCGTGTTAGCGTTGATAAAACAATTTTTGTATTTGCTAGAAATATAAGTTAAGAAAACACCAGCGCCATGATATATGTAATATTCCATTTTCAGTATGTTAATTGGACTCAGGCGAAATTTCTGAAAATTAGGTGATTCGCATAGCTTTTCTAGTGTTACTTTAACGTACTTAAGATCAAGTTTATAATTTAATTGAGCCACGTTTTGTTAGTAGTTATGTTCAATCGTATTACGTTTATCTCCCTTTACTCTTGTACATTAGACATAATATGTGGTAATATGTATAAAGTGCACACTGTTACATACAATTACTCGTAATTTCTTCTAGACATGGTACAATAGCAATGATAAAATTATCAATCAGTATTGTTGATCTAAGTTACAGTATCGAAAGAATATGATGTATATTGATACAATTTCTAGATAAATGATATTTTTAAACTTGACAGATACTTAGAATGTACCTGTAAACAAGTTTATCTGAATTTATTTAAAAAAATAAAATATTTTATCTTAAAATTAGTCGGTACTGTAACAAATATGACTTATATTTGAAAAAGTCTGAGCTGCGTTCATCAAAATATTCAATTGCATTGTCATATATTTGATTCAACGCACCATCACACGTTAAACCTTCGCACAATAATTTTATACCATTTTTCCCTGTACGGTATTTCTCATTAATTTTTAATTGCCTCGATCCTCCTGTTTCGCCGAAAATTCCAACGAAGAAATTATATTTTATTTCCCTTCTATCTTTTATCAATATGAGTAATATCATTTATCAATACTACCGTATTAATTGATAAAATTCACTTGGGTAAAAGAATTAAGTGTCTCATCCGTTTTCTAAAAGTCTTATCGTAAAGTCTGACAAAATTAATTAAAAGAATCGTTACTTTTGCAATTATTATTTTCCAATTTTTGCAATATTTTCCAACCAGTCTTCTACCGTATCAACTGCAAAATTTATCCCTATTTCTAGCCCAACCACGCAAGGATAATACGATAGTACAAATACGACAATAGGTATAAAAGTACTCGTCACGCTCTGAAAACGGTTTCTTTGACGAATCCCTGGTATTATCCGCGGCGATTATCGCAATTTGCAGCAATTTCTTCAATCCGCACGTAATGACCGTTGGCGAGGTGCGCGTCTTACAACGAGGAATCCTCGCGAAAACTGCACGACCCTATATTCAGATGCGTAACGAACCAAAAGGAAAGAATAGAGAGGAAAGTTTATTTACCTTTCGTTGAAGCGCAAGAAGGCAAAGCATGACTCAACGGGCCCGAATTATTATCTTGAAGAACATGCGTGCGTGCGTGCGTGTGTGTGTGTGTGTGTGTGTGTGTGTGAGAAAGAGAAAGAGAGAGAGAGAGAGAGAAAGGGAGAGAGAATAGCGGCTTCAAGGGAAGATGTTCTCGAGTGTCAACATTGTTCTACCTTCGTCTGGTTAATAGCCACTTCCGGTTATCCAGGAAGAAGTAACCCTCTTCAGGCTTGGGCGGGAGAGAAGAGCCTTTTTCAAAAAGGAAAACGATCCGCCTCTTTCGCGCTGACCCAAAAGGTCTCCGGTTGCCGCGCGACGATAAGCTTTTATCACTCACAAAACACGCAGCACAAATTCGTAGAATGTCTCAATACAGATTTCCTTGTGTCTGGTACTAGATGTTTGTTTTATCTTGTTTACCGATGCGTCTTGGGAGTTTCTAACAAGTTCTCGAAAAAAGAAAAACGAAGGAAACTAAAAAATGGTACGAACTAACGCTCCTCTCGTTCTTCCCTTATTTTCCTCTACCCCTTTCCCTTATTCGCTCGATCGTTTTTCCTATTTATGTTTCAAAACTGTTCCAGACTGTCGTAAAGAGTCCCCCACACGAATGTCTCTATATGCGAATCACAGTTCGTCGGAAAATTCTCGATGGAAGTTTCTCTTTCTTTTGAGTTCCAGAAGTGAGATTTATGAAAGAAGAGAACACACCGACTGCGCTCGGCCGGAGGTTGATATAACACTGTCAAAGCAACGGCGTGCGGCAAACGACGAGACAGTTTCACCGAGAGGCCAGTCAGCTGGTGCTCCCCACTCTTGATACGTCACTGTGTACACTCCTCCGTCGTTCTTTACGGATTTTCAATTCCACGGGTCGTTCTCTCCTGTGATTTCGCTTATATAGAACCGTGATGGAGCTCATTGTCCACCGGGGGATTGGAAAACGTGTCTCTCGTGTCTCTCGCGACCCGATGTAAAAATTTTGTTTCTACCAGTGGCCCCGTGAAAGTCTCCACAACCAATAAATACGTTGATTAACGCACGCTTTTACCTATTCGAACGGTGGATTAGATTTTCACCGCAACGATATTAGAAACGATCGTTCGGTTTGATTTATGCGCCATACTCGTTAATTTGTTTCATCGGCTGCAGCATGAAAGTCTGCACAAGTAATGAGAATTTTGATTAATACACTGTAACTGTATAATGCATATAATTCAGTCGGTGATATAGGAAGAGGAAAGATCGTCAATCTTATTGCTTTTAATGCTACTACAATTTTCCAATAAATATTTATTTAATCGTAAAATTATATTGATATTCGAAATAATAGATTATGAAAATTTATAAAAATAATGGCATTCGAACAAATACGCGATTATGCAACGAAGATTAGTCTGTATTTGTCATTTTTCTATCGGCTTGATAATATTAAAAAACGTATATTCGAAACGATTTTATATTTTCACAATCGATAAAATACCGTGGCACAGGTACAAACGAATGAAATTTTTTATTAAATTTCCAAAAGTTCACGACGCAATGTTAATTCTTGCAGAATATTTCCATCGTGCATTTGCACTATGTACGTGCAACATTTCGTAACTCGTGATTCATTGCTTCTTGATCGATGAACTTGTTTCTACGAATGCTCGAAGGGAAAAAACAGTAATAGCGTGATTTACTGAGCAGCTTTGTACCTTGTTACACTGCTTCTGTTTCTATCGACATCCGTTCAATATTATTCTATTATACTTATAAACATTCGTCTTCGATAATGTACTACTCGCGAAACTTATAGCGTAGGGACATGTAGTACACGCTTTCATGAGTTCTACTTTACGACATAACTTTAATATACTTTCTCAAATAATTGTTCCATTATCGAATTTAAATTGACTATGGTTCGGTTACTATTAATTTCAAAACAAAGACAAATTATGTTCCAAAGAAGCAGAGCTTAAGATAAATGATCAAACTGAAGATGACATGCATGACCGCCCACGTTAATTACGTGAGCATATTATATACATAATCCTATGGTAAGGTCCATTTAATTAAGTTTTAATGAAGTACGTGCATGCTTCGCGTGCTTTCCAAATTGATTTTTTAGAAGACAAAAACTACAACCGTATTCTACTAGGTGTACCTTTGCTTAGAGACACATCTACGTACCCTTGTTCCCTACCAATTTACCTAAATTACCTTCGAGAAGGTAGCATCACACAAAGTAGAGCTTCTTAATTTGAAAATAACATGCACCCACTTTTACAAAGTAAAGTATAGCCCAATTACATGGAAATTACATTTTTTTCTATTCGATAAAAAAAATATGTAAGTTTAACTATTCGCCTTTCCGTCGTACCGATTTTGCGTTATTTATATCAGGCGACACAGCAGATTATGCAAATGAAGTTAAAGTCAGTCGAGAGTTGTCACAATCTCATTATCAACATTCAAATTACAACTAACAAAAATGATGTTTCAATACATCGTTTGGAATAATGGAAAAATTATAATAACATGAAAACGATGTTAATTTAAGACTATCTAGACTTAGAACGTGCTTGCAATCACCAGTCTGTTCACGTCGACAGCAAGAAGAAAAATCCGCTAAAGAAAAGCAGGTATGAACAGATCTATAAATATTAATATCCACATATCATGTTCACTCGGATTGAAACTCGTTACCAAGTTGAATTCGTTGGGTAATCGCTGGTAATAACGCGCCGTGATACTGAAGCAACGAACGTAAAAAGCGAGTGCAGGTAGCGCGAGATGCAAAATTACACAGTACCACGGTGAAAATTAACTCGTTTCAGTCTTCAAAAGGCAACCATATGGTGTAGCCTGAATATCGTTGAAAGAGCAAGGCCGAGCAAGGAGTCATCTTCTAATTCAGTCGAGGGAATAATGACATGTTGTAGCGTAGATCATGAATAAATTCGAACGAAGCCAGAAAAAGTTTAAAATTTTTATATTTCTTTCTACAGAAGCTTCTCAGTATGTATTTCGTTACTAAAGAATTACGAGAATAATATCAGAACTTGAAGGCCGCAGATGAAAAGCACGATAGCAGAGCAATTTTAAAATTCGATGTGTCGTCAACCAATCTCATATCGAAACTATCTTTCCGCTTGATTTTGGGGTTAAATATGCGTTGTTGAACATTTAAAAAATATTAGGAACGTTAATTGCACAGAAAAATTGCATTAATTAAAATTAATTAAGATTAACACAGTGATTAATCCAACGTCGTTCATCTCTTATAAAAAATTGTAGATTTATGGCTTATTTAAAAAAAAAATAATAGTCATATATTCTTGTCATATAAGAATTAACATGGTAATTTTTGTTTTATTTTCCTTTTTTATTTGGACATAAATATTCTAAACTGAGAGAATTATTGCACGGTGCATTTCTTCGCCATGAAATGTAAATTTCGAACATTTCTGCAACTATCATTAAGTGGCAATCGTTCGACATATTCCTTTTTCACGACGTGAAGAGTGAAACGCGAGGGAAAAACTGGAACAAAATCGAAATGGTTCGAAGCTGTCCCCGAAAAGGATGAAATTAACCGGTGATTTGTATTCACCGAACGGCGAATAATTTTTGCGTATAAATTATTTAAATGATCGACAATAAAAAAGAAAACGGAGGGTTGGCGAGCAATTTTAACGATCGAGTTACCCGACGCAAATAGCGGCGCGATCGATGGTTCCTTTTTGTTCCTCAAGTAAGTCACGTGGTGAAACCTTTCTTCGAAGGACGGCGAACAATCGCACGTGCGACCGCTATTCGCACGTAAATCTAGTGCTCTCGACCAAAGATCCGCAATTTTTCATGCTTATCTGTTTATTTTCATCCAAAGAACAACGATTTCTTTAATCAATACGTTTGCAAAATAAAAGCTAATATCCAGAGGAAAGGTATAATTAGAAATTGACTTTGTGATATGCAAGCATCCAATTAAACTTGCTATGATCCTGAAATTTGTTGTGTCTCGGAAAAAGGACTTGTAATATTTAAGAAAGATATTTAACACAAAATTAATACGTTCAATGTTCAAATATCGATAACATTACTCGCTCAATTAGGAAACTGTATTAAAACGACAAAGATTCGAAATAATTTATGAGTCATTCTTATCTATCTTCTGCCTAATACTAAATCATTATAACGTTCATATATCAAAAATCAATGAGATTCGTCAGAAAGAAACTTAGCCACGGTGAATGTACCGATCTGTTACGATCACATGTTCGGAAATTATAATAAATGGTATTTCATAGATTTCTACCAGAAGGTGAAAGCGCGTTATTAAGTGAAATATCTCTTTGCTTAGAAAATTATTTAAAATGAAACGTAGAAAGCAGCGTGGCGGGATTCGGTCAAGTCATAGAGCAATCATATTAATAACCACGTTCGTCGACGTTCCGCACGAGAATCGACGATTTGAGAAAGATGAAAGATTTCGCTTTTGACGAACCATCGTGGAACCAGTGAAATCGGCAGGGAGTTGATTCCTGTGCGAAAGTGCTTCCTTGACGTGCATCAGCGACCTGCCTTAATGCAATGCGCATATGTAATAATGATCAGCGCATGCCGGGTACAATGACTTGATAAACGCCAAGCTGCACGCAAACGGCGCAACTGTCTTGCCCACGGATGCATATCCTTTTGTACTAACGGAATGGCACACGTAATATTTTCAGTGGATTAATTAAAAGGCAATGCTGTCGTTGTGTTGTCTCTTCAACTTTTCTCGATCCTATCGTATAGAGTCGAGTATCTTTTTAAAATGTCTGATTCTCTGATCAATTTAATTTTTGTATTAATTTTTCAGAATATTTATTAGTTTGTAGAAATTTCTTTACATTCGTTTTTAAAATTATTAATAATTATGCTAGGAATAAGGAATTTTATATTACTAGAAATATTATGAAAAAAAATATTTATTAATATATGAATTTTTTTAATTCACCACAATAATGTGCAATGTGTAAAAAAGATAACGGATGTTTATCTTATATTGCATTTTCGTGGTATATATGTGAGAATGCGAAAGATAAGTGGACGAAGAATTTAATAACGCATAAAATTAGTCTTGTAAATAAATTAGGGAAAACAATTAGAATGAAATTACAGTATTACGAAAACTGAATGGAAATGTTGAATATAGTATGAGCACGTGGGTTATGTAATTATTACACCAGATATGACCATATCGCTATGCATGAAATCGGAGCATGCAACACTTAGCAAATAAGTATAATATTATCATAATTATTCCATTCAACCGCGGTCGACAAATGTTTATTAAACAAAAGCCATTACTAATATAATTATCTTTTTACCATTAAGGTTAATTTTTAACTTTAATATTTGATCACGTTAGTTTCATTAAATAATAGATAAAATAATTCGTTTGTAATGTGAACAACAGTTTACCTGTCTCTTTCTGAAATCAATCAATCCAAAGTATCAACTTCTGCTAATAGAATAGAAAATGTACATTAATTGAAACGACATTAACCAATGTGATCGATTAATTGATGGCAAGTAAAAGACGTTCTTTTGGAGTTCATAGTTGGAACATACGTATAATACTTGGCTGGCTAAAGAGCTTTGTTTCTGCAACTCATTGTGGAACGACTTCTCCCATAAGTACTTACGTAGCACGCATTGTGTGCTACACGTACACAAGCAAAATCGACACAGAATGTATGCAACTCTTGTTTAATTTACATTATG